AGGCAATCAGACACGTCACTCGCCTTTTGCGCCACTCGGTCAGGTTGATGAATGAACAGCAAAGCCTTCCCCATTCTCAGTCCAAGGTAGTTTGTCGGAATTTTCTCGGATTATGGCTGCTGGAACACTAAAAAATCCGTATCGCTTACAGATCGAGACGTTCAAACTTTCCTAGAAGGGGAGGAAAACCAATATACGAAAAGGAAAAGTGAAAGTTATGTATTCAGCGGCTTTGGTAATAGCATTTCTCGCGGCTAAGAACGAAAATCGACAACTGGAAGATTTGCCACGGGCCGATTTGGCCGTTTACCTGAAAGATTATTCTGTCGGTAAAGACAAAGTCAATGAACGAGAGAATTTTGTAAATTGAAAATTACACAATCATTGTTTTTGTAATCATGAATCCACGCATATTTCAATCTTGAGCCTCAGCGTCAACGTACTGTACGATTTATTCGGAAATTGTCGGTTCCTTTATTTTCATTCACTAATAAAGTCGGCTTTTTCATTTCGCCCCCGTCCCTGTTCTACCTCCCCCCCTCCCTTTTTTTTCTCAAAAGCCTCAGTCCACAACTTTTCGTTTCTTTTAGGAGCCACCCTTTCTAATAAGCCCAATTTCACCCTCCCTCCAATCCTCCCCCCCCCCCTTAATCAAAACATAAGAACAATGGTCTTCTTGTTCTTTCTTTGTGGGGATAAGTTGCTTAACAGTGCAAAATACGGGTTTCAATGTGAGCAAAGAAATGCATTTTGTTCAAGGTATCCATTAAATCTAGACGGCGATTCAAAAAATACCTTACCAGCATACACCATATACCACTGTATAATGTGCTGCTGTACATAAATTCTCCTCTTTCAAAATCCTATCGTATGGAGGCTCTATAGACTAATAAGCCCCTCCTCACACCCTTCCCCTCCTTACTCCTTTCCTTGTCTTTTATTAGCACCGCTGTTATTCTCTAAGAGCTTATTGCCGCGCAAAAACGAACAAAAGCGGAAAAAGAATTAGACAAAGGTCGACTAATTAGCTTACCTTCTGCTCCAAACCAAGCTTTGAAACCTCTTCGGCCACCATATCTTGACTTAAAGCGTACCCACATTTCATTTCCAGGGGATGTGACGTTGCTTGGTTTCTGGTCTCCACAAAACACCACGGAGTCCTTACTAGTCCTAACAACGTTGAAGTAGGTAAATCTCTGGCGTCGAGTGCTGACCATTACATACTCTTCCCGGCATGCTTTTGTCCTGGTTACATCAAAATGTGGATCAAAATAAAGATGGATCCTGTAGCCCTTCTTTACAATAATACGCCATATGCAGGTTTGAAGAGGATTGTAGCTCTTCGGGTAACCAGGGGACTTAATAACACCAGAATGCCCTGTGATTTGATAAATCCGACGTTGACATTTTCCTAAAGATAGAACAAGTATTTAGTGAGAATGGCGCACAACTACAAGAATAACACTAGAGAACACTTGGTTCAAAACTAAAAAGAACATATTTAAAGTAAATCTCTGACATATTAAAAGATGGAATTCCAGACTGAAGTTGCCTACTGGTGCTTTCTCTAAGCCTAACACTGTATCCGTTTGTGGTTTGTCATTCGTTTGTTTCGTCGTTCCATTGTTCGGTACTCGAATTTGATTGGAACTCAGTTAAATTGTCTCTTTGAATTCGACTAGGTTTGACAGTCGGAAATAATTGAACGTACCAAAACACCTAACCAATTAAATGCAATCGAACCTACGGTAATCGAACCCTCTGTCGTTACAACGCAACCCCTGAACTCCTAAAGGTCGATTGGGCTCCAATATTGTATTAACAGAGACTAAGCCAGCGTTTAAAATCGGTTTCACGAAGTTACCAAGTTATGCTTGGTCTTGAAACATAACAAAACGCGTATTAATCCTTCTTATTCTTCGAGTTCTTTTACGCAACATCATCTGAGTGAACTTATTAAGTACGAAGCGACTAGGTAAGATTGATTCGACTGAATTCGATAATCGAACTCCGCCAACAAAAACTTGGATTTCCACTGTCTTCGATCGTCTGACCAATAGCTCAGCAATCAAAAGGTTGTTTTTCAAATCAGTCCGTTGGTTTCAGTTTAATTAGTTACGGCAAGATCTGTCTATCGAAGAATTCGACTTAGTTTTGAATAAGGCACCACGCAAATGCTTGATAGTTAGATGTGGCCAACTCGCCCGCGTCTGGTGAGAGGAATTATTAGTCCTTCTATAACATATTTTGAAGCATTTTCTCTTGTTTGCTAAGCTGTGCAAGACTATCAGAGAGTGTGAACGAGCAGAAGGGCGAGCGCTCGTTAAACGGCGAGCGCCCGTTAAACGGCGAGCGCCCTTTGCCTCTAGCTTGTGCCTTCGCACGTCCCTATGGCTGAGAGCCTCCTGGAAGGCTACATGTTCGTTCTTTCTTATGTACTTCTCTCATCTGTTCTTTCGATCCCCGATTACATGAACCAAGCTGTCTTTCCAGATCAGGTCTAGCTAAAAACTTGTTCGCTCACCATCCCTCCCCACCAACCTTCCACAAAAAGGACGAATGTTTGGCCAAACTCCTACTTTATATGCATAGTGCGTGGTCCAGAGTAAACATTGAGTTTCGATGAAAACTTCTGAAGAATGAAATATCCTGTCAACTGAGTGTAATTACTCTTCTCGTGCAGCACATTGGCTGAAGAAATCAGTAAATGGAACTCGCACCATTTGAACAATGGATATCTAATACGTTATACCGAAAAAACAATATTATTATTATAATTTCTTCGCGAAAAGTCATTTGATACCTAATTTTGTCATTTGCGAAGCATGACATACTCTCTGATGTTTTGAAAGAGAGGGGTCACCCGTTGACTTAAATGTTTTCTTAGTGAGATAATTTCTCTGATTCCTTCGAATCATGCTCACTACAAAGCTGATCTTTCCCTGACGCTGAATCCGGTAAAAAAAACCTCTTGATTGCTCAACATCGCTGCATTTTTATAGTGTGATCATTAAAGCATTTATATATTCCGGCACGAAAACCTAAGCAGAGAGAATCTTTAGGGAAGGTGCTTACTTGACGAGCCACCACGAACGAAAGCAATGAAATATCAAACTTACCTGGGGGATCTTCTGTGACTACTGCACTTAACAAGTATGTTCTGTGATGGGAAGCAAAAGACACTGATTTAGTAATCGCTTTCATGTACTGACGCGCACCAAGGAAAGAAGCTAATTCTTACGTGTATCTTTCGAAGGCTAGATTGTGGGCAGACTTACCTTTCAATCAGTGAATACGATTACTCTAATACCCTGGAGGTTACGTTACTAAAAAGAAATGGTACTTACAATACAATGACAACCTCAAGAAACCTCTTCATTCTGTGTTTGGTCTGTTATTAGTTGACGTAATCACAAGTTTGCCACGAATTCTGTGGACTATTCTACCACAAGCCCCACGGGAGATGAGCATACAATGTTATGTCCTTTGTGAATGGTCGTTGGCTTACAAAGGGGAAGTGCGTAAAACCGCAAGCAGACAAAGTGTAATGTTTACACGAAACTTATTATGATTCGAGCGGAAGTGAGATCACTCGAAGCGATCAATGAGATTAAAAACGACTAGTGGGACTCCCCACGGCTTAACACTGAATTCGCTATTCTAAAATTTTAAATGATTCCTGTATGGAAAGAAATACAATGAGTCGTAGTCTTTTGTTTCAGAGTAGTTAACTCACTTGTGCTCATTTACTTGACCTCTTTTTTGAGAAAGATGTGTTAACAATTTTGCATGCAATGTCTTCGGGCTACTTTTTAGGGGTCCGATGTCAACAAATATCCTTAATTCCATCCCATCTATATCTTTAAACATTGATTGACGCAAAATTGTGTCTCAACAATTCTTAGCCTATAAAATACAAAAAGTCGCTTATCCTGTTGCAAAGAACAGAGAACTTGTGCAGCTTTGAGATTTGTCTGGCTGTCAAGAATTTTTGCTACATGATAAATCTGACAGGCGAAACAGCAAACAAAGAAAGCAAAGAACAAAATAAAAAGCACAAAAATAAAATAAAAAGACCAAATAAAAACTAACCGAAAAGAGAGCAAACAACAATAATAATGATGCAAAAAAGATCTCGAAAAGCATTGAAATTTCACGGCAGTAACACGCACTCTCCATAGACTCATGTCGTCGATCTCTTGTTCGTTAGAAGTATCTAAACAACCTCATACAGATAGAACCTGTTTTCGTTCGGTTGTAGAGCAGCTGGATACGTTGTTTCTTAGGAAACATCAAAAACACCCAGACAAGAGAATGAACGGTGATGGGAAGTTCCTTCAGCAGTTTATCGCTCGGAGGCTGGGCAGTATTCAACAGATTAAGTTCTCTTATTGGAGACAATGGAGGCGGCACAACCTTCTGGATTAATTTGATGTTCACATCATGCGTCTCCTTGAATTGTCCCCATACGCTCATAATGATAATAACGACAGAACGGTGTATCCTTCGATTTATCTTACAATAATATTGTTTATGTATGATTTCAAATTCTGGCAAATGAAAATGGATTTTAGAACGAGTTCTTCAACAAAAATTGAGCTTTGGGAGCCTTTTGATGTAAGTATATGGGATATGTTAAAGAGCCATCGACTACGCTAAAAAAAAATATCTGTTAAAGCAGAGCAAAATACGATTTGGTGACAATAGTCTGCAATGTTTTATCAGTTTTATTGGGAAAGCGTTACTTGTCTACTCGAAACACTTTCGGAGGGGAAGTTCATTTAAAATCCACTTCCTTTCATAAAATATAAAAATATATGATGAATATTTGCAACAAAGTACTTGAGCTGCAACGTGTACGCGGCTCAGTTGGCCGATCAGTTTACATATCCTGATCACTTCAATAATGCCGGATCCTCTACCTTGCGCTTACAGTCACTCCTGTCAACAAGAAGACAGGTGTCAATCACTTTTAACAATACATAAAGGCTTAGTAGCGATGGGCGCGTGCCAAAGAGTGAATGGTCGAACTGTAGCATCACGCGTCTACCTTCTTTACGCAACCCAAGTGAGGAATTTTCGTAAATAACCATGGTACTTTTTAGGTAGGTCATTTCTTTCGTCAACGAGTCTACGGAAAAACAGATATCCTTCATGTATCATTGTTTTTGTCTGAGAATGAATTAAGATATTTGGTCACGTCGAAGGTAACTAGCTATCCCTAATGTTTATCGCAGATCAAAGGATTGCCTGCTCTTGCCGCTTCTTCTAGTCATTGGCATTCGTTTCTCAGGTACTGTTGCTAGTGTTGAGAATCCAATATTTTAACTAATGGTAACTAGTCACTCATAAAAAAACATTTTGTTTAAGTTTTAAAGGAAGTTCAACATCTTCCTTATTCTCAAGCGAGGTCATGAAATCAACATATTTTGGTGTACCATGTTTCGCTTGGGTTAAGTCCTATTTTCAACAAATAACAATTACTTATTACGTTTGAATTTTGCAAGTCGATTTAAATTGTTACTTTTATTTCTTTTCTTACACATTTTTCGAAATTTGAGACTACAAGGCATGGCTTGGAGTTTGGACGCTAACGAATCTGACATGAACTAGGCTTTGCGCACGTACCAGGTACTTGATGTCTATCCCTATAAATGTCCGATGACCAACATTTTTTGAATGATACCAATCAAACTGGCTTTACTTTCGTCTGATGTCACCTTTGAAATATCCATCACTGTTACACATTTGTTTACAAAGAAATCGATCCATGATTTTATCAAAACAGATCCGTCACTATCGATTCGACAGGAGACATTGATGCCGCGCAAATAATAAAAAAACCTTTTAGAGGCAATCATTTTAGATTTAGGTGTGCTTAAATAGTGTTCGAGATATCGAGGTAGTTTTTCCTGGCAAGAATATCATTTGCTGAAATGAAAGCGTGTGTAGATAGATGCACTGCATTGTATTATCTCATCTCAGTTGGTTAAGCGCTGGCTCCCTGCTTCCTCTCAGCTTGGCGCCAAAATAATGACCGCAGCTTAGAACCTGAAGCGTTTATACCTCGCTGCCAATGCACAGCCCCTTAACGTTGAAGTTTTTAAGTCTTCAGCAATCTTCTAACGTGTAATCTTTCTTGATAATTTTATGACTAAAAAGGGCGGTGATAATTAAGATGACTTAACCATTGACCGGAAGTCCTATCACTATTCACTTTTGAGAGCGCTGTTATCAAATGTGGCGCTCGTCTGTACTTTGTTAGAAATACTAAGCTTGTTGCGGTGATATGTTTTCGTACAACTTAACCTGCTCGAAAGGGAAAACTAAAACCCTTCCTTTCAAGTACGTTTTTTTCGGTATGTGGGTACATATCGTAATAAACTTTGTACAGATCAACACAACAAAACTTAATGTTAAAATATCCTGCACGATGGGAACTTTTCCTGTGCTTATTTTGTTTACATTGAAAGTATTATTACGGCTTAGAATAGATGGCCTTTTGGACCAAAAAAAAAAGTTGAGGAGGTCAGATTTCGAATGGCCTGTTTGCAGAAAAAACAATTCATGCGTTTATCCATCGATTTTTTCTGTATGATTCTATTTGTTCATCGTTCAAATTTAACTGACGATATAAAATAAACTTAAAAAAAGATTAATTAACATCTGTTGCTCGCCACTGAATCAAATAACACATATTTTTCATGCCTTGCCAATAAAAATGCACTTTTTTTCATGGGCATTTTATTATGGCAATTATCATGCGTTGTTATTTTTAGCTCAACCCAGTGTGATACAAAGAAAATTAAGCCTTGTAATTTAGAGTGACGAGTAGACTGATAATTAACTTTTCTTTAGCGCGTTTAGAACCCAGCAACGTCGTCAATCATCCGTATAATCCCGACTTGGAACATTTCAACGGTTGCAACGTAATTGGCTTATCTCGCGTCCTCTTTTGATGAACCGAAGGAATCAGGCGATTCTACAAGTAAACTAATACTGTATTTCCTTTATTAAAGTTTCGGTTGTTTAGTTTGGTACTCAAGCTTTCAACTGCTACGGCTTACGAAAGTTAAGCTCTCAATCAGAGCCGTTGCTTTCCTGCTTACTGGCTTTGAACGGATCAAAATTAGCCTTCCGTAAATCGTGCCCCAACAAGACATTGTATACTTGAAGTGTTTGTGTGTGTATGAGTTTTTTTAATGGCGAGAAGATCTCTGAGGTGCTAAATTGCGCAGCTCTTTGTGTTAAAAACTTGAAGACACATGCGGGAATCTATATTTTCCTGGCGTTCTCTCGATAATTTGTCAATCAATTCAGGAAGATCAATCAATTCAGGTGAATGATAGAAATCGAACTGGAATTTTCATTTATTGGGCTCACGTCACGACAAGGTTCAAATTCATGTCACCACCAAATTTTTATGCTTGGTCAATTTATCATATTGAGTCAAATTTCACCCATGGAGAGATTTCGATGGCGTTTTTGAGATGTTCCTTTTCCATTGCAATTTGATCAAAAATTTGAAATAAGCAGTTGTCGATATGGACATTGCGCATGGACATTTCTCTGTTTGCAATTCTTTTTGGGCGATCCTGTCCCATCTTTACGCTGAATTAGTAAATGGTACTCTTATGTAAACTTGTGGAACCTATCTGTAAACTTCAGTTATTTCTCAGAGGTATTTTCTTTACGCTTCACCTATGACTTCCGGATTGCCTCTTCGCAAAATCACGATCATTATCAGCAGGTGACGCGAAAGTCACTAAGCTGTCTGATGAGTGTATGTAGCAACAATGTCACAAATAAAGGAAGACTTCATATAAATAATAGGGAGGAGATATAGTTCTAAAAGGTAGAAAAGCTCCGAAGGATCATGCTCACAAAACGATATATTTATGTCAGAGTTTATATTAGGTCTAAAAGAATGTTATCGACTAACGAAAAATCAAAACTCTTGATTGACTTTGAAGAAAGAGTTCAACGACTTATCTAAGAGCTTGAAGACTAAGCTTGAAAGCTGAAATAGCTCAAGCTTAATCTCACGACCACTAGTGCTTGGGGGAAAGGTTTGAATGTACTAGGGCTGGCTCATGTTTCTTTCAAGACATGAAAGTTTTGTAGACAAAGTTGCACCTAAGGATCACGTGCAAAGGTTGGACTGGAATGCCCCTGATTTGATTTTAAAATTTACTAACTCGGAGTTTGGGCTCAGTATTGGATATTTTAGTTTGATCCTTGATTTTCAAGTACACACAGAAAACATTGAGTGGTATTGTAGTCGTCATGTGATGTGGAACCTAAACCTGCGAATATTGAAGATTACTTCGTTTTGAAAAAAATTGATCTTGTGTTTTGCTCTGAAACGGAAAGTTTAAATTTACAACGTTTACAGCGAAACACTTTTCCTTCACTTTCACCATTTTCGACTTGATTTTAATGTTCTATATACTGATTTTCAAGGAAAGCCTGAAACAAATGTCATCTTAAACGTGAAAATTTGGTTTTATCAACCGAGTTGATAATGTAACCTGGCCACTGTAAAGAGTTTCCAAAGCTGACGTTTCGAGCGTCACACGTCAAGAATTCTATAGCTTTTTCTTGTTTCTGTCGTTTAAGAGGGCCACCACCGCGCCCAACAAATTGATCGACAATCAGCACTACAAACGGCACAGAACGAAATACCCATCCATTCCATTCACTCTCACATTTCACCCTCACAACCACGCAGTTAAATCTATCCTTCTTTAAAACTTACTTCAAAACGATTTAGAGACTGGTACTATGTTTTCGAAACCTCCACTAATTACATTCAAACGTGACAAAAACATCAGTAACTTTTTGGTCAGAAGTTAATTTCCAAACTAAGACCAACCGGGAACTTTCAAATGTGCTCGCTCACGGTGGAAAACTTGTCCTTTCATTCATCACGTGGAGAAATGTCGGGACCCAGGAGATCTGTGAAGATCACTGATCATTTCACGTGCACCTCCGCCAGTGTCATCTATTGCATGACTTGCACTTCTTGCAAAAATTTATACAGTGGTGAAAGAGGAAAGAGGAAGAACACCTTCACGACGTAGAAAGAAATGACAGGGACGTATTCAAACTAGTCGCTAGACGCTTTAATCTCCCTAATCATTCTAAACAGTATATGGCAGTTTACGGCCTTTTCCTGAATCTACGCAGTTCGGAAAGCCGCAAAACTCTAGAACAAAAATTTATATTTCTTAATCGGCGCTCTTAATCCCCACGGTATCAACGAGCGCTTTTCATTTAACTAACTTATTCTTGTTTCCTCGTCACCATATTCCTGCCAATAGCGTAGCATAAAAACATACACACAACCCACAATTCCTCCATTCGCTCTGACAAAGGACTAACGCTCGAAACGCCAGCTTTGAAACTCTTTACGGTGGCCAATTTACATGATCAACTCACTTGATAAAACCAAATTATCTTATCATACTTTCAACCGACGTAGCTATCACATCTTCTGAAGAAACTTACCCTCTTTAATCTTAAAGGTGTTGGCTGTCCTTAGTCAAAAAGCAAGGCATTTCCTTTTTCTCTCAACTCATCAATATATTAATTAACTTCAGATTCGTCTTGCGGTGGAGCTCTTAATGGCCGTCATGGAATTATTCAGTCGCCAAACTTTCCTGACACGTATCCAAATAACTTGCACTGTGTGTGGAACATAACTGTGGCTACAGGCTATCGGGTGAAAATTCGGTTCACAGCTTTTGATGTAGAATATTTCAAATATTGTGAATACGATTGGATTTCCATGCGTTCCGGAAATAGTACTCATGGAAAATTTTGTGGCTCTAAAAAGGGAGTTCATCGCATTCCCCACGATCAATTAATATCACCAACAAACGAGGTCACTCTCATCTTTCACTCGGATTACTCCAATGAGGAAGTCTACAAAGGTTTCAGAGCACATTACTCCGCTGTTGGTAAGTACATATTTCTTTCTTACCACATTTTTTTTTATTACTTGGTTCACATTAACCGAGCAGGAGGTCTGTAGCGGAGAATTTTGACTGAGATCGCAAGATACTCCCCTACTGAAAACCCTAATAGGTTAATAAGATGTTCATTGACCAAAAAAGAAATCCAAAGGAAATAATATAAATAATCAAATAATTCTGGTTCAAGCCTTTAGCTGCCCTATTTCCGTCACTACTCTTCAGTTCAAAAAGGACAAAAATTAAATGTTCAAAGTTCAGCTTCCAAACTTCCTGAATTACTGAAAACAAAATAGCTGTTCTTTCCATAATAGGCTCAAAAAAGAATCTCTAAAAATTGACCAAAAGTACAACAAATTTAAATGCCTGTCTGTTCCTCGATCGCAAGATCTGTTCTTTTTCATCCCTGTAATGTTAGACCCACCGCCACAGAGAACATTGATGTTGTATGCAAAATCTCCAAGCTTGTGTTTTCTTTTATACTACTCAGTAGAGGTTACCTTAATTTTTTTGTTGTCCCTTGCAGATGCAGATGAGTGCAAAAGGGATAACGGTGGATGTGATCATTACTGCCACAATTACATAGGCGGTCATTATTGCTCATGTCGACCAGGCTACAGACTTCAACCGGATAAGAAGTCTTGTTATGGTAAGTATCCTCCTTTCTCCATAACCCTTCGTTTTTCTTCGTTTTAGAGAAGTTTTGTCCGCGAAAACTTTTAAAATCTTCTGATTGCTCAGGTAATATTCAACCAAGAGAGCGACCCATTCATTTCCCAAGATTAATTTTCCTGTCGTAATGTGGCTTAAAATTTATTGCCCCGTTTACTTTTGTTCGTAATTTTTAATGTTCGGGCATTCTTTAGTTGTTTGCAATAACCAGCAATTTAAAGCGAGGCGAGGTGAAATAGCTACTCCAGAATACCCCAAGAACTACCCCAAAAACTCTAGATGTGACTGGACCATTGAAGTGGAAGAAGGATACCAGATAACTTTAAGTTTTACTCAGGTAAGTTTCGTTCGTGATTTCTTCCTGTTCTGGAATAAATTGAAATACTCTTAGTCAATGAACATGCTGAATTATTTTATGATGGGAAAAGTCATGCTGGTAAATTTACGATGGAGGATTTCTTTAAATATCTACTTTGGTTCTGTTCGAATCGTGCTCTTCGAAGTCATATCACTGCCCAAGTTCTGCTGATGCTATCTTTTTATGGCTCAATATGTTAAATTCAAATCTTAACCAATATAGTGAGGTAAGCGTATTATTAATGCAAATGTTTTTGCAACAACTAATGGCACTGTTCTTGCCCACTAAGGATAAAGTAGGGTTGTTTGCAGCAACTTTATGGAAGGTTCTGTCCGAGGCCCTATGACCCTTTTTGGTACCAGACAATGATTACTAATTCTCATTTTCCTTTTGTTTTTGCCTTGATTTTTAAACCTGTCAGTAAATGCTCTTACCTATGTCCTCTATGCCATTATTGTCTTTCGTGCTTTGTCGTAAAATGCGATTTTCACCTCGCACAAATATTATCCCAGGTTGGTTGTCGCGTTAACGAACGGTGGAATATCACAATTTCCCTAAACTCTTCCCTGATTATCGTGCCGCTTCGATAACAAACCACAGTGCATTTATTCTCCTGGTCATGGTTACACAAAGTTAATATTTGCCTACATTATATAATAATAACACTGTTGATTTGTTTTTTATTTTGGGCTTAGTTTGAAGTGGAGGATCATCCAGACGTGATTTGTCCTTACGACTACTTGAGAGTGTCAGCAGGCATCAATAGAAAGTATGGTCCTTTCTGTGGGAAGTCTCTTCCCCAGAACATTACTTCATCTGATAACTACATGTACCTGGAGTTTGTGTCCGATGGTACTGAAAACTACAAAGGATTCAAAGCGATTTATGACACACATGGTAACGTTTTATCAAACGATTGTAAATAAATCCCTTGCAACCCACAAATGAAGTGCTCTGACCTTGCTCGTGAATTTTATTGGTCGTCTCGTTGTCTGTTTAACTGACTGATCTGTTTGTTATCATTGTATCATTGTTAGCCGAGTCGTCTAAGTTGTAGTGGCCATTTAATTAATTTTATGGTATAATCGTTGCATTATATTTTATTTATTAGCATTTTGCTTTTACAGGGTTACAATGCCCAATCTTACGCGCTCCACAGCATGGAAACATGACGGGGGATAGTTTTACGTTTAAGGACGTCGTACAGTTTGGTTGCGATGAAGGTTATCTTCTAACAGGCTCTGCTGTCAGGGAGTGTCTCAGCAGCGGAACCTGGGACGGAGATGTCCCTGAATGCAAACGTAAGTACAGTTACTCCTTAGGTGACTTACTTCTTAGAAGTTACGCCTTAGGTGAATGCGATCTTGTGGGGGAAAAGTTATCAAGGCCCTTTTGAACTCCGAGCATTACAAAGTGAAGATATAAACTTGATACTTTATAGTTATGATGCTTGAACTGGAGTCGAACCAGAGCACGGTATAAGCTGCTTTAAAGTCACTTCGTTGAAAGGAAATTTCAGAACAATTTTGATTGTGGTCGACAAGGCATCTTAACTTTAGGGAATCTCTATCGACAGAATGTGAATTGAGTGACGAGTCAAGCTTAACTGCAAAATTTATTGCCGTGGTTTTTTACTTCTTTCAATTGCATTCGTTTATTCATCTCTCTAACGGCACAAGCGGTAAACTGTGGTAATCCTGGAATCCCACGTCATGGTAAAATGGGACAGACTGGATTCACCTACAAGAAAACCGTAACATTTTCTTGTGACAAGTATTTTGAGCTTCGAGGTCAGAGCACTAGACAGTGCCAAGCAGATGGAACCTGGTCTGGCGAACAACCCAAGTGTGTTGCAAGTACGTTAGCCTGGCTATAACGTAAATTTTTAATAACGCCTTTCTTTTATATTATATTAGGGTCCCGACCCTTCTCTTCGTTAGCTTATATTGGAAATTGAAGGGACCACTATCATAATGAAACCTAAAAGGCCGTTTGGAAAAGCAGCTTTGTGAAAATTAAAATAGAATGGACAGGACGTGCTTGCATGTCTTTTTAAGAGAACACGCAGAGATAAAAAGAAGAGTAATTTTATCGCCATTTTCGACAAATTTGAAATGACAACAGATAGATATCAGACCACTTCTGTGGCAATAACCCATGCCACAAATTTATTTTGATTCCAGGGCAAATCATTCAATCTAATCTGTGAGTGATGTGAATTAGAATAGTTGAAGCGAGACAAATCATCGTTCTAAATTATTCTCGTAAGACCTAATAACAAAGAAAAAGAGAGAGAAGTTATAAGGAACAAATGAAAGATAGAAAACTTACTTCTTTGCTTCTTTTTACAAACTTAGACCACATGTATTGAACCCAATGTTCCTGCCACAAACGAGTTTCCTTTTCTCTCAAATAATTTCAAAAGTCTAAAGGAGTGACCTACTAAAATGAACATCTTGGTGCAACTCGCACCAATTGTGGCTTCTAACGCGCTCGGCTGAGACAATTAGCTCATTTATTACACCCATTTTGAAATCACTGGTGGTCCCTGTAATCTGATTGGCTCTACCTGGTGTGATTTATTCACGAATCGCACCATATTTTTCTTTAAATCGCACCTTTTTCCCAGCCAATGAGGAGGCTACACTAAAAACAAAACAACCAATCAGACTTCAAGGCTTGTTTAAAGTAACCGATCAAATTGCAGGAAGATGAAAGACATAGAGTATCATGTGGCAAATTTTGCAACTTTTGTTTCCAAACTCTTATTTTTCCTCCCAAAAAATGGATGAATTTAATTTCAAACCGGCTCAGAATTGTGTGGATAAAATATTTGAACTGACCAAGTCCTATATTTGGGCGATTTCAAAATGGATGTAATAAAGTGGTGATTGAACCTCGTGTTGTGCAATTTTGGTCTGAAATCGTACTTGTGATTTCAAATCGAACTCGCGCTGTGCGCTCGTTCAGTTTTGAAATCACACTTATGATTTCAGCCCAAATTGCACTCCACTCAGTTCAATTACCATTGTCTATCATTTTGTCTTCCTTGGTAGTGATTGCTTTGATGCGTTGGTATTTGTTAACAATTTTTTCTCTCTACTGTTATCAATACAGGTTGTGGAGAAATAGAAAACTTTAATTTCAGTCGTGATGTTTGTAGAAAGAGGATCGTTGGCGGCCAGGACTCATCCAAAGGGGCCTACCCATGGCATGTGTTACTTATGAAGGATGGTCGGTTGGCCTGTGGTGGAAGTCTTTTGAACGAACGATGGGTTCTAACTGGTGAGTCAATCACAGGCCCTTCTCGGTAGCTTTGCTACAAAGAGGAGAAAAATGGTCAACGGTTTTGGAAACACTAGTTACTATGATAAAAAAAAAATCAGTTGTCTTGACAGGGAATTGTTATCCGCTATTTTCATTGTTTTTACGAAGTGTCCAACCCTGTCAATATCATCGCTATTATGTCCTGGTATGGCTTTGTCACGCGAATGGTCTTTGTGCGTGCAGAGCTTGCTTGTTTTAAGGGAAGTGAGTTACTCCTTGGAAGTTTTAAAGAGTTTAGAGGAGGCAAATAATGAGGCAAACATAACCTTTTTAAGAGTATTCAACATATGAACATTTAAAAACTCTTCATAGATCACTTACCAATGTTACTTAGAACGTCATTTTCATTTTCAGCTGCTCACTGCGTGACGAGCAAGCAATCAGACATTATCCCCCTTTCTCAACTGGATATTTTTGCTGGTCTACTTGATATCCGCAAATTCAACGACAGCCACGTTCAGAGGAGAAGAGTCATAAAGATCATTAATCACCGGGACTTTAATTTCACTCTGTTTGAGTCTGACCTAGCGCTTTTGAAACTGGATCGTGAAATAAAAATATCAGATTACGTCAGACCTGTCTGTCTGCCAGAAAAACCTGAGTAAGTCAAACACTTATTTACTTGTCCAATTCTTTACGTTTTATGGGTAACAATATTTCTACGACTGTTATAAAAGGTGAACATATTTGTAAAATTAACTACTTGATTGAGCCGTGCTGCCGTGGGCCGTTATTTTTCACATTTTTTTGAACGACAGCGAAAAAAGTTCCAAAGATCCTCTCCCTGCAAAGCAATGATTCTTGCCGTTTGATTTCCTGCTGTTGTGTCAAGAGAAGGGCCACAATGGGAGCAACTTTTCTTCTCTTTCTCGCTTTTTAGGCAGAAGAGTTTGTTTATGCGCGGAAAATTCGGCCGAGTGGTAGGCTGGGGTTATAGAGTGAGCCAGGACTCCATTGGGCAGTTTGCAAACATACTCAAAGAGATCTGCATTCCGACCATTGGCAACGATAAATGCCAAGCCGCCTTCAAGGATGAAGGATACATTGTGACTCCAAAAATGCTCTGCGCTGGTCAGGTTCAAGGTGGAAAAGATTCCTGTCATGGAGACTCTGGTGGTGGATTTGTGTCCATGGACCCAGTGAGCGGGAAGTGGGTACTGGGCGGGGTAGTGAGCTGGGGTAGTAGCCTGGGATGCGGATTACGAAATAAGTATGGAGTATATGTACGCGTCACAGAGTTTATCCCTTGGATCAATCGTTACATGTCCTGAGACCCCCTAAACTTAATCAAGATGTAACCAACTTATTTGGATAATTTAATCAGTGTATAAGCAAGATTTTCTCTATATCAGTTTGAGTTGGAGTTATTGAATCTGTTTTTTCTCATTTGAAAAAATACAAATGATGCACCTTTGCCTGTGAGTGTCGAAAGTAAACTGCTTATCAAGGTTAGCAGTTTGTTAGATCTCTCAGCATTATCTGTGGGTTTACTATTTTAGGTTGTATAATCTTACGGCAACAATTTTTGTCTTTCGGCTGACTTGGTTATTTACAGAGTGAAAGAGTAATATATAAAATGTCCAACTGAAATTTATGGCTTGATTAACTACTTTTACAATCTTTCAGGACTGTTTATCTTGTATTTAGATGTAGAAATCATTTTATGTAGTCTTTTTATTTATAAACATATATTTCTTTTAATCTTTTGGATTTAAATATCTGTTTTAAATATTGATTTACAAGAGAGTTCTAGTTTCCATTTACCAAAATGACTTAAGTTAGACAAGTCATACACTTTCATTACTTTTCAGAGAACTCGCTTTTAGTTATGTGATTCCAAACAATAAAGACATATTACCGTATGAGTAAATTTCACTTAAAGCCGAAAAAACGAGTCTTTCATACCTCTGGTATAAGAATGAAGAATTTTCACTGTAGGTAAAATCAGGAGTAGCAACCGTCTCCAGGGTATATCGGGCAATAATGATTTGTATCTTTCTGGGAAAGACTTAGTAGCTTTTTAAAGCGTATGCTGACGCAAATTTGTTGCTGTTATGTTATGTTATATTTTAAATACTGTTTTTATTGCTACAAATGTATATCTTGTTATTATTATTATTAAGTTGTGAAGTTCTCTATTCTCTTCTCAGGAAAAGGGGGGGATACTCGCAAGACGCCAATTGTTTTTGTATTCGAGTCGCAAATGCTTTGATGTAACATGTCATAGAGACCTCGTTAGTCATCTAGACCGTTAGAGTTCTACAGGTTACCTCACTAGTACGATCCCTGTTACTACAGCATTGGAACTCGAGTGTGGGGTTCGATTCTTGAGTGGGAATTAAATATTTTCTTCGTACTACACTTGAAAGAAAACTTTGTTGAAACTGATTGATGTATAAAAGGAAAGCCTTCACTAAACAAAACGATTAAGATAAACAGAGTCTAATAGTTTGGAGAATCCTTTCCTTTAGTTCTGCAGTTACTTATTCTTCCTTACTAAAATCAAACTGCTAAGAGCTGTCTGCCCGAGAAGATTGTCGATGATGACATCTTAACATTTTGAACGTGCTTCTCAGGTGGTTGTTTCCATGTCTTCGGGAGGGAGGAAAGAGACGGGGAAGTTGTGAAGATATTGAAATGAGTTTGAGTACATTGACCATCCGCCGAAAATAAATTGAAAAAGGTTGACCGTTGTGGTTCGTGGCGGTTGTAGAGAGCTAATTTCTGATGTAGGCTCAACCTTGTTTCACATTTTTACCGTCAATTATCGCTTGGAAAATCGTCAGTTTTTTGTACGGAAAGAGTGACGATCTTTAATATGGGTTTGTGTTTTGGTCGAGACGAAACATAGAATGTTTTTCTCGCCAAGAATCAATGCTCACGCCCATGGCCGTATTATTGTTCTCTTCGCCTCTTGTGGCTGCAAGGTATCATGTTTACATAAAAACGGTTATTAAAAGATAAAATCAAGGTAGTTCAATAAATGGAAATTAAGCTGCAGCTGACGTTTCTACAATATTTACAATTTTATTAGCTTGTAGTCTTGAGTTACTGTTGTGCAAACAGCCAATTTTCTTTGACTATATGCACGAAGAACATCTAAAATTGCGGTGTAGGTAATTTGAAATATTTTTATATAAGTTAACATACAACGTTGTCACATACTAAAACAGAGGCTAGCGACACAGTTTCCTCGTCACCATTGTCGTTTACACTTTCATAAACCACATGGAAACCAGAGATTGCAAGACCTTACATGTAGCTACAAGTGAACTACATCAATCCATTTTTTCGAAATTATTTCATTGTTCGAATAAATATGGAAAATGTATATGCGCTTTTAAATGTCTTGATTTGCTCGGTATTTGATAACTACTGATACCTCAATTAAAGAACCGCTCTCACGCAACACACAAAATCAAGAAATGTCCTTTTTTTTCTTTAAAAATTGTTTCAGTCGGCCATCCTCATTTTTCGACGCTATTTCTTATTCTTAAAGTTATTTAAATGTGTCTGCTCTACATTTTCTTCTTCTTATAGTCACACCATGACCGCATAAACCGGCCTTCCTTCCTCTCCCTCTATCATACCCCGATTATAAGAAGAGTTCAGATTAGTGGCCCCTGATTGTGAATCTACAGACATTCAGCGTGTCACTTACACAAGAATCTGAATCAAATGACGAGTTTATTTTCGATGTATTCCTGAGAATGTTTCGTCATTAGTTTTAGGAGCCTAATTATTATACCGTGATTTGTAACAATTTTAGTCTACATGTAAATTTGCGCTGACCCTGTTCTCTTAAACTAACTTATGATAATTTGTACTGGTGTGAGGAAAAGTGAAGTGCTAAAGACCAAACTTAAAGGTGAATGACCTTTGCATTCACTTCAGTACATAAAACCGCTTCCCTTCCGAAAAAAATTGGACATGAGGAGCCTGAGCAGAGACGTTCTTGAAATGCGGACGGCTATCAGTGGAAGAAGTTAATAGCCGATTAAGAAAGAGCATCAATTAAATCGGCTTGATGCTCTATTATCAGAACTAACCACTTGAAAAGATCGTGATGAAGAAATTTGTCGCAAACGAAGGGATAGGAACTTTCCACCACTGGCTTCCGTCCGCGTCTCAAAAACGTTTGTGCCATATGAAAGCTCACCATTGTCGAGAGACTGAATTGGACTGGCTTACTTGCAGATGCTAACCTCGACTCGCCTCTGACATTCGCGACACTTGACATAACAGCACCAATAGAACTTGCATTCACAACGCTCCACCCTGGCTTCTTGGTGTGTGGTGTACCCCCGACTGCAGCACATCAACTCACATCCATCTATAGCTTGAGATGTGCGGTTGCACATCCTTCCTTGGGTTCCAAGGGAGCCAGTGCTAAGATTTGGCGTGCAGAAATCAGGTGAACGGTCAATATAAACAAGGTCGACCAAAGTATAAGGTTTAAAATTTCGATTTCGTGGAAGAAGAACTCTCCTTGATCCAATTTGCTTTAGTTCTACTTCCGTGGCTCCGTCGAATTTTTCTTTGATATGATCTCCAACCAGTCTAAAATTGGGAAGTGACCTCCAGCAGGTTTTCACTTTACATGATCCTGACACACCGTGGCATTTACATTGAATTTTCATGTACTTTAGGATGGCCTGTTGATTGAAATATAAATTAGCAAATCGTCGGTTAGATTTACTACTTTCACGTGATCAAAATACCAAAATCGTGTTTACTCGATCTGCTTTCTCTTACTCCTTAGATAATCTTTTTCGTAGATCTGATGGGTAGAGAATGTTCCTAAGAAAACTCGACTTTCAAGAAAAAAATATCGGACAAAACGGTCTTTCGAGTCCTGGATCTTTCGACAATAAAGGCAGAAGCGCAGGTCCCCTAATTTGTGTTTGAAATACTTTGCACAAAATTAATTAAGAGGGTGAAATGTTACTTGGGTGTGCTTCATGTTTTTCGATAAAGGGTCCTTGCTACTTAGGCTTGCTTCATGTTTTTCTACAAAGGGTCCTTGCTACGACATAATCATCTTCACTTTAAGTCTCGGTATTTAACAAGTTCCCCACACCAGTAGACACTAGGGAGGATTAAGCAAATGTTACTGTAACGCTAGCTATAGCGCAGGGGGCCATAATAGGTAAAGAAACTGTTTCGTGTAGATGTCACTTTTTTTTTTTTTTGCATTTTCTAAGTTTCCAAAAAAATCATAAGAAGCGGTGCTACATAAGTGAATTTCTGTCAATCATTCAACTATCGACTAAACATATTTGTAGCGCACGAGTTTATCAGGTCTATTGATCGTTTCTCTTTTGCCAATACTATTCATCGATATAAATATTTAGCTTTCAGTTAGACCTTTCAATAAAATACAAATTCAGTGGATCAGGGCCAAACTTGCAATTTCGTCTCATGCTGCGGGCATCTTGACGAACAGTTAGGAGCAGAAACAAACAAAATGGATTTAAATCTGCCAATTGAAACCCATGAGATGACCGTATGAATATCCTTATGATTTTAATGATCTAACATCTCTACTGAACTTCAAAATTTTTAGTCCACCAAGCGCTGAAATGAGTATCAACTCACCCTTCTCCCTGCGTTGTTGTTGTGTAAGTTCATAGAAATACGAGATGGATCCTCTCCTTTACGACCACGTTCTCTTGCGTCCACAAAGGTTTTGGAAAACTCAATTCCAAAGTCGATATCATCACTACACCCTGCCCATTTCCAACCCTCTTTAGACATTTTTCCATTGTTCTTCTGGTCACAGCCACACCTTCGTCCAAGTTGTCCCGCGCTGCAGGAATGCGTCACAGCATAAGCTACCCCCGCTGACGAAATGGAATGAACAAAAGCAGCTTCCCTGGTTCCTAAACAGAATAAGCGGGAATAAAGCTCATTAAAAATTGTTTCCCCTTGTCTTTCGTAATCACATGTTACTAAATGCTGCAGGCACCTTCATTACGAGGAAATTCAAATTAGACGGTCCAGTTTCTTATTTGACTTAAGGAGTGCTAAGTGTTCTTTCTGGTATCGGTCTGCAGTGACAGTTTCTTGATGTAGGCCATTACAGTAGTTAGAATAGTGACGCGCAGATATGGAATAAACATTTGCGGAAATGTTGCCTACCTCCGTTTACAGAATTTCCAAAGACAGGGGATTTTTCAAATTGCAGAGTGGTACAGTTCCACCTTCGATAGCGAAACTGATGTTGACATTCCTGGACAGCAATTGTGGCACCAAATTTGACACTGTTCATGACGTCAACATTTCTTTTGCAGACTTGTACCTGTCTGTTGTTAAAGTGGGTACCGACTTCGTCACAGCTTCGACGCGTGTTAAACTTAGTAACAGAGCTGCTGAGCGCCAGTGATCTGTAAATGTTAACAGAGTCGATGTTATCACTTACGAACACTATTTAATCTACAGTTGTAACCAAAGACAGTTTGAAAAACAAATTTGGCGCGTCTGCCACTGATTCAATTTTGAGATTGACAATTCGTTGTTTAGAGGTTCCTATGGAATCAACTTTCATTGACGCGATTGATTTGTCCATGATTGGAATTATTTACAAGTTTTCAGTTGATTGATCAAGTCTATACGTCTGTTTAGTTCTACACTGCTCGACCAATATCATTCCTTTTTCCGTGAAAATTGTCTTCCATAAGTTTGGTACTCAGTTGAATATTGGATCAGCTTAAACGATATAAAAAACGGAAAAACAATTTGAAAGAAGAATTCCATTCGCGATGATTGCCGTCGTCTAACCGGGCGATTTTTGGATTTTGATGCTGGCGTTCAGTAGACCCCGGTTAAAGTTTTTCCATTCCATTTCAGTGTTCACGATGACAGATCGGGAATTATTTTTGTTGCTGCACTTCTCAATTTCAACAGCTGCAAAGAGCTAGTTAAATTAAATACTCATTTCACTGTCGTCAGGAACTGGTAAGCACAAATTTATTAATTTAGATGGTTTAAAGTAATACTTTGAACTCAATGACGACAGAAACCAGACAGTGAGGAACAAAACACACCATCCTCTATCAAACTCTGATGTCGAAGAGATTTTCATTGAGGTACCGCGATTTCTTGGTTTGATACTTACAGCCATTGACTTGATGTGACAAGAGAGAGAAGTGAAAATTCCACTGCCACCAAAAACTGGAAGAGAGTAAGTGTCTTGAAAAGTACCATGTTACCTGCAGCAAGAGCGGTGTCTTTATCTGGCAAAGTAAAATAATAAAGGTTTATCATAAGAATTTGTGAAACAAAAGAGAAATCTGGCCTCCTAATGAAATCCCACTACGCGGGTCTCGCTCAAAGCGGTTACCGCGGCTACACTTGATGAAGAAGACAAAGTCAGCTTCTGACGGTACTTTACTCTATGAATATTATGTAATGGGAACAACAAAACTTAATTAAAATAAGCTATTAGACCTACAGGAATGCACCAGACAATTTTATGGAAAAAGATTCTCATAAACCATAGAGGTAGCATTTTATCTACAAAGTCAAAATTGATATCAGGTTTTAAAAGAGCTTCTAAATTAAGCGAACGAGTTCACGTTCTGTTCAAGACTAGTAGTTAATTACGGGTTAGTCACTACACAGCCATATCATTTTAACAACTATTGTCCTTGTCCTATAGGACAATAAAAGTTGTTAAGTCATGACAAAAATATATGATAATTATCTCGTGGTGCCACGAAAACTTCTAACTTGTTTGACTGAAGGTAAGGCTGGAAACTCAAAAAGGGAATGTCAAACCCTATTCCGCGTACGCGGTATGTTCTATGTTCGTATTTGCACTATTTATCAGTTTTATTTACTCGTGCAGAAAAGTTATTGATCTAAACTGTTTTATGAAGTGGCCAGACTGTTTTCAATAGAGATTAAGCCGATAATAACTAATTGCGCACTTTGTCGGCTTATCTTGCGTGTTTCTACGCATCACGACCGGCCGAATTTTTTCTTAAGTAAAAAGTTTCTAGCTGCTTGCTGTCATCGTTCCTCAGGACGAAATAACAGGTGCATATCAGCTATGGCTGCCTACAGGATTATCTACAATATTTTTTTTAAAATTAGCCTTCATACTCTCTTGGAACTTTACACAGTTTGGGAAAGTATTCACTTCCGAATCTTTCGTGAACTTTCAACTCTTAGATACTTCTTTTACAAGTTTGTTTTGCCCGATTTGCTGAAAAGGATTCTTCTGACTGGACAACTTAGAAAAACCGTGTTACTTGTGGTTGCAGTGCTTGGGTTTACAAGAATGGTAGCTGAGAAACGATCTGAGTAATCTTCAAATCCTCTTTTAATAAGACAATTTCAGTGCAACTTTGGACATATTACGTTTCTTATTTTGCCCCCATTTCGACATTATCAAACTAACACTACGTATGATGTATCCTGAGGCGGAGTCAGTCGGTTAAAAATGAAGCAATGTTCTCTCACCTTATCCCAGAAATTCTTAACCTCTTTACTTTACTGCTGCTTGTAACTTTGCTCACCCCTTCTGTACTTTGTTTTTATGCTTTGGCTCACACGGATTTTTATTGACCTGTTTTCGGCTCAATTTCTCGACTATAATACACCAGTTTATAATAACGCCTTCACGTCCCATGGGACCTCACACCCAGACAAACCAGTTGCTACAAATCATCTTTATAATAAGCGATGATGAGAACTTAGATCACTTTTTAACTTGAAACAATGAGGGAAATAAACACCAGGAGATATGAACAGTGTGCGTACGATCGCTCGTCGACTTGCTCTGAGACTCTTTGATCTTTATATTTCGTCAAGCAGTAGATTGTATCATGTTCGTGTTGGTAAACAACAAGCCTCCCCAAGTGTCATAATTAATATGAACTCACCGTGGGCATTATGTAAATAAACAATTAAAAATCACCGGAAAAGCTGAGAAAGTTGAGAGCAATTCAAGGTGTTTAGCGGTCTTTTAAAACTTCCTTATTTCTGCTAGCTTGTTTTAATAAGCGTTTTAATTTCGGCAAATCCGCCGTCGCGTATAATTTTCTTTAGAACTTAAGTCTTGTGGTTAGTTTTGTTATGACTCCATGGCACGTTTTTTTTCCCTATACAACAGCAAATATGTTGAACATCTTGCGAGACGATTTTCAAAAAAAATCAAACTATGCCAAATATTTTTCTTAAGCCTTCCCAGAGAACTTTCTTAATTAAAAAATTATTCGAATGAATGCGAACAATGGATATTAGTTTATTATTACACGTTAGCCCGCCAACAAAAACAACGAAACGCCGTTATTGAACACCGTCATATATAATTTTTTGTCAAGCTGATCAAAGGATGAAAACATCTCAAAGTATATCGATCACATATGTTGTTTGTATGGGGAAACGACTAAAACTGAACCATTGTGGGCTGAAGAACAAAAGGCGTTAGCTTTCCGCTAGTGTAAAAACGCGACAAACAAATTCGCTGTTATCTCAATCTACACAAAGGGCGCGAATGTCAAATTTGACGCGACGGCTGCGCAGGTCAACTTTCTTTTATGGGAATAATCTGATTCAGTCGGCATTCCCTTGGAGCTTTGCCGTCGCAGTCGCTTGCGAAGGAATCAAGATGGCGATGGAAAGGTCAAAATCACTGATTTGGTCAGCCTTTTATATTGAGAGGCTTCTTTATTCGTGTAAGCTCAAATCAATAAGATACAACAAACAGTATCTAGATGGGATTACAGTAGCTCGGCACTCACCACGAGAATCAAGAACAATAAATGAATTCGGGCTTATCCTTGAAACGAGAAAGTCGAATAAAGTAAATGCAATTGAGTCTCTTAGTAAAGTTGTAGAAAAATTCAATATCTTACCAATAGTCACGATGATTTTAACGCTAACCTTTAAAGCTTTTAAAATCGTCAAAAATTTTATTTTTCGTCTGGTATCCGAGTGTTTAAGATGCAGGAATCGACCCCTTTCCGACGCCTAGCACTGATTACAGTTGAGGAATGACATACCATGCAATGCACGCACCCTTGTTTAGTCAGGGTAAAGAATACGTCGATGCTTACCGAGAGGCTGTAAGTTATGAAAAAAATTTTTCTCTGCTAAAGTTTTAAGATCATCCAAATTGTCCATGACAGTGGTATTGAAATACCAGGTTTTTTTTTTTCGCAATATGTTCCTTCATCATGGCTAGTTATGAACTTACATAATTGCTGTAGCTATTGATGTTTTCATGGCGACACGCGACATCACAGAACAAGCAGACAAGCAGCCAATACTCGCATTTTCGCACCTTCCACCGAGGGTGAATAACTTTTTGTTTGAATCCCTATAACTTAGGGATAGCTTATCTCGCTGGCCCAGTTCAAGATGGCTTCTCTTCTCTTCGGCTAACACTACCTTTCATATTGTCACAGCGATAACAGCGAGAGAGTCAATGCTGCGTAACTAAAAGGATTCATTATGGCCCGGCGCGCGACCATGTAACATCCTGTGAGTGCACACCCACTGGGCGGATGGGCGGAAAATGCGCGGGCGCGCTCTGGAAAAATGTAAAGTACTGATAAATGACAAAATTAACACTCTGTTTTGGAAAAAACACACACAGAGAAAACAATATTGATAAAGAGCCCCATTAATAATTTGTTATCGCTATTAGCTAAAACGCACTAATGGCTGCAGTTTTCAAATATAGAAACGTTGGCAGGAAATATCAAGTCGTGTAACCTAGAGCTTAACCCAGAATGTGTGAAATATCGCTAGTTAACAACTACTAAATATGGCCTTCTCATTTTTGATACAGATAAATTTAAAGCTTGACTTGTGTGAACTGTTAAAATCCTATCGTAAGTAGGAAATCAAAAAATGTTTTTGGGACAGTAAAAATGATTGACGTGCACTTCCTTGTTGAAAATTTTCAGGTCATTTCACCGTGCTGTGGCAGACAATGTCTCAGAGCTTCGACAGAAAGTGACGTTAATTGTGGTTTATAGTGGCGTCATTGATTGAGTAGTTGCGTGCGATTTGCCTCAGGAGGTTTTCCTCTCGTAAAAGTGATTTTCCTCTTTGTTCAAAATTTAAACCACAACATCTGTTTCTATTTACCAATGTACGAACTTCTCAAAGTTTACATTCTTAGTAGGGCATAAATTTTTTTTGCTCCAAATTTACGACAAGCCACACAAAATGAGCCTGAGAAAACACTGATGAATAGAAAAGATGAACCGAAGTTAATCCTGGTCAGCATACTACACACATGCCTCAAATGCGTAGCCAAAGTTCCTATGATGACTTTTGTTAAAAAAGATTGCGATATTAAGTCAAAAGAAAGCAGTTTATTTCCTCAAAGCTAACAGAACTGAAACAGAACTTACAGTTTTTTTTTTTACATAAAAAATCTTGGCAAGGAAGTAACGACAGCAGAAAGAGAATGGAGTTAAAACTGTTTTTCAACAACTTAAAAGCGAATATTGACCATTATGATAATGTGAAGGCCATTGAGCAAACGGATAAAGGTGGTTGTTCTATTCAGTCTCTGAGTTACAGCAAGTGTCGTTTTCCTTTTTATGAAGCCCTAAGGTGCATCTCAGGTTATTTTGACGTGCCTTGTGCAATAAGATAACGCAGTGTGAGAGCCCACTGGTCTTTATCATGCTTGTGCGCCGCACATATCTTGTCAAACCGCCTTTTATTTTTACAACAGATAACAGGATAGTCCATTTTAAGTTGTTAAAAGGTACCACTGCGTAAGGCGAGGTTGTAATAAGGGGTGATGACTTAAGAATCACGCAAATATAGACAATCCTCCGCCATACCTCAGACTATCTGGTGAAACTTATCAGAGGGTGAGACAGTGTCAAGGATTCTTTCTTTAAAAAAAGTGTCACAAGATCCTTTACTGACTTTGATGACACTTTATGACCAAAAGCTGATATTTGAAATTACAAAACTTTGACCGTAAATTCTTTTGTGGGAAAATGTTTTGAGAAGAACATTTTACAGTTTAGTCGTCTTTACAAAGAGAAGTGTGCGTTTCTCTCTTTCCTTAGCTGTTTTAACAAAGCTGAAAGGGGTTTCCTGTTTTCAAAATTTTGTTTGTGCTTGAATTTTTGCTTTTTTATCACTAAGAAGTAAGGGAGGCATACCTTAAGTCAGAAGAAGATTTCACGAAATTTGATTTGGATTTTGTAAGTAACGATTTTCAAACAATAAACGGCTTACCTTGATCAAGTACCGT